GAGAATTTTATCGTTTTACTTATCAAATACCCTGTATAATTATGTATAATTATATATAATTATATAAAATTATATAAAATCTTCATCACACAAAGAAATTTATGAATTTAGTTAAGAATCCAAGACTGAAGAGTGATGTGATAGATTTAAGATATCCTAGAAATATAAAATTAATTAATGCATTTGTATTTTAATTAATATATTTTGAAAATTTCTGCATTATTTATTAGTAATCTTTTACATATTGTTATACAAATGCAGTTATGTAAATATAAGATGACTTTGTAACAATTCTTCGTGCAACGTGAGAATCATGAGATGGCAAAGTTGTCCGTCTATAATAGCATCAGTCTGATTACATGTAGTCTCAGCTTGCATGTAAACAGTAATACTAGTCGATTTGTTGTTCGTGGGTATGTTATTTCTTGACTATCGAGAATCTGTGGCAACAACTCGGAGAATAATGAATTTATTAGCACACAAATAATATGTGCGTTATTAGGAGACATGAAATACTATTTTTGAAAAATTTTGTAAGAACTTAAAAAGAACATTATAAAAAAGCTAGGAAAAAGAATAAAGATATAAGATATAAAAATAAAGATATAAGAAGAAGACAGAAATAAAAATATATGGAGAATTACTCCGTAAAATTCTTCACTTAAGTATGTACGTGCATTTAGCATTGTGTTAATAATTTTTCCGATAAAAGTAAACAGATTTTTTAGATATAATTAATTTAAAACATGAAAAAAATTAACAATGGAATTATTTTTATATATAAACTTATTTATTAATTTTTACTAGATTAATGAGAAATATTTGCTTGAAACGTTTACTTCGGTGAAATGAACTTCCAATATCTTATTCAGAATCTTTCATACAATTAAGAAGCTTTTAAAAAATTAATGAAATTAATTAAAAACAAACTACAATAAATTACAAAAATTACAATTTCGTGCGTGTGTATTAAGAATACCGTCGTAAGAATATTCTTTCTTATTTGCACTATATAACATATTGCAAGAAATATACATATACATACATACATATATATATATATATATTGATTTTAATATTAATTTCCGTGAACTGAACATAGTAGCTATAGAGAGTAGTCCATTACTTAATCAGTTATTTAGATGGAACTTAACTTCCGGTCAGAGGAAAGCTCTTCGAAAATGGAATATTCGCAAATAGGTGGTCTGAGTATTTACTGCTTGGGTCATCGTCAATAAATCCAGTCACGTAGCTGCGTAACATGTAAGAACTTCGAGTTGACAAGTAGTCCATCTCTGGTTGGAACCTTTTTCGCTTTCTTTGTCGGGAATTCAGCTTGGAAATAAAACGAGATTTTCTCCAAAGTCTTTTATTTTGGATACTGGGATCTTTATTTTTACTTTCAAACTCCAATCCTATAAAAAAGCTTTGTATAAGTAATAAATGTAATAATAATAATAATATTAATAAATAATTTTAATAACAACACTAAAAACTCGTTCTCTCTCTTTCTCCCTCTCTCTCTCTCTCTCTCTCTCTCTCTCTCTCTCTCTTTTCTCTTTTCTCTTTTTCTATCGCTCGTTGAGAGAATAGTCTCTGGAAAACACGCAAAATTTTCAAAAAATTTACGTATATTGCATCAAATATTGCTGTAGGATTTTTATTTTTTTCAAGTTATCAATATATATAAAATTTAGACTGGAAAAAACAAAGAGACTAGCCAAAAATAATTCCATTATTAATAATAATAGAAACAAAGAATTATATTTTTATTAATAATTAAGACCCGTAATAATTCTCGTTTTTACTAATCACAACGAATCATAATATATTATCAAACGATTCTTGTATGGTGCGTATTACAACGAAATCGAGAATAACGCGTTATTAAGATTCATACAGATGGCAAAGAATATGTGGCGACAGACTGTGCACGAATCAATATCCAATCTGCGAAACGACCTAGATAACAAGAAAGTAATTTTTTCATAGCTATGTAGAGAAGATGTGGCAATGGTACCATTTTTAAATTTTACCGACAGCTTTTAGAATTAATAGCATAAAAATTGGAAGATCTGTCTCCAAAATTGTATTTTTAAGAAATAGACATTTATTTATCGTATTAAATAATCGTAAATTTAATTAAAGATTAAGTAAAGTTCTATGAATAAATAAATTTAAGATATATTTTTGAAATATGAAATTTACGTTATTTTCAATAATTTTAGCGAAATTAAAATAACACTCGACAAGTACCGAATCATTCATCATTCGAGTCGTTTAATTATTCGCGATTGACGCAATTTACAAATAATTTACAATTCCAAAGGTGTTGTGTTACTGTGTATTTATTTGTAGAGTACTTTTGTTTAACACAAAATCGCGCGTTGATTGTTTAATGAATGGGATATTCTTACGAATAGAGATAATCGATTATGAAACCTCGTTAATTGTAACATTTACATTATTGCACTACAGTTGCATTAGTGAATAATGTTATGATCGAGCATTTCCATTTTATTTTAACTTTTACTTTTTTGTTTTAATTTTTAAAAATTTTTTCTCTTTTTCCATAAAAATTAATCTTCCATATAAAAGTTTATTTTTCACGAAAAATTTTATTTTGCATATTTACGTTAGAAGAGTTAAAGATAACGTTTATACTATAATATATAAATTCGCATTGTTGTCCATATTGCAATTTGCTTATTTTTATTTTAATTCTCGGTATATTCAAATTTACTTCAGCATATAAAACTCGATTTTATTTTCTGCGTGTTATTGCAATTTTTGTTACAATTTCAAAGAATTTTTATGGAGATTAAAGATTTACTTGTAGAGAGAGAGAGAGAGAGAGAGAGAGAGAGAGAGAGAGAGAGAATACATTATTAAAAGATAAAGATTACCAACTCCATAAAAATTATAATGTGTCTAAAAACATAGATATAAATCAAATTCATAAAAAATTATTGTATTTATTTTACATATTTTCTTTTAACCAAAAGTTTTTATAAAATATACATTCTGTATAATAAAATGTGTAATTATAGTGATTATTATATCATTATAATAATAAATAATTACACAACAAATAATTACTATATGATGTAATATATTCGTATTACTTTCACATAGATAGATGGGATTTTTTTGAGACATATAAACAGTTTCGTTTCCCTCATTGGTGGAAGTAACAAACTCGTTATCACTGTTGCTTTTTGTATACGCGCCATGACGAATAGGAATCTAGTCGATTGGTATCGATTAATACTCGTGAGGCGGATTAATTGTCATCACAGGAATCACTATAATGTATATAATGAGGAAATTCTTCAATTTTATGAAAAATACAGACGCAAGATTTATGAAGTCGTGATGACGGTATAATTTATAATAATTAAAAGAGAAATTATTTGCTAAATAAACAATCATTCGTCAACGAATGTGAGAAACGAAGTATATTATTTCCTCTTGATTAATTAAATCTTTAACACACTCACCGGACGAAAAGCGTTATTTTAATCCATGCGTAGCAAAATTGAATAATTTATTTAATATATATATATATATGCTTTATTAAAAAATACAAAATAGAAACAAAATTATGAAAGCTGTATAAATCAAAGTAGCACCTTAAAAGATGAGATAATAGCAATATATAATGTGCTAATCATTCAAGCCTTGATCTTATTATAATTAATTAATTAATACTAATAATAAATAATAATATTAATGGAATAAAATATATAATGAAAAAATTACAATTACGAAAAATGAAAATGACGTACACGATAGTAAGTAGAGATATGTGTATTTTATTTGGCGGTCAGTGTAACTTCTTTTGCACGTTCTATTTTACCTTAGCTAAACTTTTTTCTGTAGTGTAACATTACGTGTGCTCGATACACGTGTTACATGACATATATGGATGTTTATACATCTGTGTGACAAGAGGACAAGACAGATAGATATGTGGAAGGTGGGACAACAGGAGATGATGAATTTCGTTTCTCGTCCTGCGTCAATTTTTACGCGATTACGAAGACATCTTGTCAAACTATTGAAATAGTTGCTTCTTTCTAAGAGAAATATCAAGAAATAGATAATCTATAAAGAATCTTTTTGAAATTGAGACGATAACAAACGGACAAATAATATCGATGAATCAAACTTGACCTGAATTTTAATTTAAAATTCGCGGAAACATCTTATTTCAAAATTCTTAAAAAATTGTTCAAATATTTTAAATTGATGCTTCTAAGAATTAAAAAAAATTATTAATTTTTAATTTTCAGTTTAGTTTAAAAAAGTTTAAAATTCTGAGCGTTAAAATTACATTTTTTAATTCAATGTTTCTTCAGACATTCTCTCTCTCTCTCTCTCTCTCTTTCTCTCTTTCTCTTTCTCTCTCCTCTCTTACAAAATTATATTATATATTAAATTATACATATAATACATTAAATGGTAATTAAACTTTTAATAGGATTTTAATAAGCTGATATTAAATGTTTCCGAAATAGATGATAATTGTAATAAATATATATGACCCTTGACTTCGATTCCACGTTTCGCTTTTCGCGAATTAGATTTATTCTCGCCTTTACTCTCGTGGAGGCAGTGGACGCGAGCGTTCGTGCGGGCCACTGAAGAACCACCCTCTTCTGTGCGGATGACGGAGGAGCGACGAAGGGGGTAAGCTCGAAGACTCGCTGAAGAGGAGAGAGAAAGAGAGAGAGTGGGCCGGGGTAACGATGGAGGGATTTGGCTGAAGATGGAAGTTGCTATGCTGTCCAATGTGGAGAGGGTGAGAGTGACAGTGAGGGTGAAAGAGAAAGAGAAAGAGAGAGAGAGAGAGAGAGAGAGAGAGAGAGAGAGAGAGAGAGAGAGAGAGAGAGAGAGAGAGAGAGAGAGGTAGAGACAGGGTGGCGCGGTGGTGCGTCGCTGGTGGAAAGCGGGAAAGCCTCTCCGAAGCGACCACCCACAGTTCACTGCGGCCTCGCGAGCCGTGTGAGCCACAACAACGTTGAGCATTTCGTATCGCGCCGTTCAGTCGCTCCCTCGAACTACTCTGGATACATACTTTAATTCCTTCCATCATGTAAACAAAGCGCAGAGGGTACGCGTCTCTCATGGACGTAGATTTGGAAAACGTCCGCAATGTAACGCGTGGCGGAGGATCCAGAGATGGAGGTTCTTAATTACACGTAAAAAAAGAGAAAATAAAAAAAGTGACATTACACTTTCTCGCAAGAGTAATACATGGTGCTGAGTGTTAAAATGGAGGTATTTCGTATCCCAGATGTGGCTTTCTGCTGGCAAGATCAATGATGGTGGAAGTCCAATTTCAATTTACTGTTTCTGTGAACATCATGATATGAGTTACCGAGTTTAGAAGATGTCTCAGCTCAAGGTTGAGAGACTTTTACCTTCTCCTCTCGGAACACCGTAACATTTATTGGATCCCGAAGATGTTCCTATCCAATTCTCAAGATTGATGATCCAACTTTGATTTTCATAAGAAGTTCAATTTACTAGACGTTATGACGTTCATCTATCGCGTCTTGGATTTTTTCCAAGTGGATTTAATTAATTGAATTGTTAAATTTAACAATTTGCAACAATTCTCTATTGGCAATTATAGCAGCTTTCAAATGAAAAATTCAAACTGAAAAAGATCACTATACTATTCAGCCGAAGAGGTTCTCTCTGTTTAATCGAAACGAACAATTCGTCAATCATTTCTTTCACGCGACAGTTTTCATCGCTTCGTGTACATTCAACACTCATAATCGATAATCAATTGTTACGATTATCCCCAATATTGCGTGATCTTTGGATATATAGCAGTTGTAGAACGCTTTGATAAAGAAAGGGAGAGAAAGAAAGTAATACGTCATCCTTTTGCCTTCAAAACCATCGAATTGTAGTGACATCCTTTCTGCTGGCAACATAACGGATGAGGGCTATGAGGATTCTGTTTATACTGTGACGAGCTAAAGTACACAGTTAGCATTCGCGAAGATAAACTCTATATCTTCGATGATTCTGTCGACCACGTGTTTTGTGCGATCTTTGCGATGGTGTGCGAGTGTAACGGTGTGCAAAGTCTCGAGATAACGATGCTTTAAGTGTTTACGCGAAGGAGGTAGCTATTTTCTGTTAACACACATTGGCGATCTTATACGATTATTCACGTAGATCACGTTTCAAATTTATCATCCTTATTGGAAAGACACCCAAAAGTATCCTTTCGGAGATACTAACAGTTATTTGTTCGATAATATTTTCATTAATTGAGGTTGATAGCTTAGATCAACAGCATTAATATACATGTTATAACAATGGCATTTGGTAGAGGTAATCTTGTAATTATGCAAACTATCGGTATGATTATACGCGGTACGCTATCTACTCTTACCATCTCTGATAATTACAGATATGTCAACTACAGCATAGTAATGCTTCAGTTTTCATTTCAAAACGGGTAGTTAATCACATAAATATAATTTCTCATAATATTAAGCATAATAATAATTAACACTTTCGCTATCGGAATACTTCTAAAAAAGAGACGATCTCAATTGGATAAAATTATTTTTTTTATATAATTTATCTTCGAATTCATGTAAGAACTTAATATTATTTTTACTTAATATTATTTTTTAATATATAAGGAACTATTATTTATTTCGTCAAAATTTTTTTTTTATTATGCTATCCGTCGATTTTATAATGTTATTTATTCCTAAAATAGAATAATATAAATTAGTAAAATAACAAGGAATCTTCGATATAAAATCAAAATGATAAGAGATAATTATTGGCCCTTCTGTCATCAATGCAATATTGTGATTTTAATTTAAGCTATTGTTATATGGATACAATGCTGTCATATAGATAATAAATGCTAAATAAATTATGATGTTATACATATACGATGGTGAAAGTGTTAATGAGATTTTGCAATCTTTTAACAGTTATAATAAGAAAAATACGACAAAATTAATATATACTACGCGATTGCAGAGTAAACGAAACTAGCTGTCAATTCACTGACTCGCGGCTCGCGTGTTTGCTAAGCCAAACCAAATACACTCGTTCAATATAACATAAGCCCATAATGAAATCAAGTATATATCGCACAATGTCTCGTTTTCTCATGAATGAATTAAAGACAAGGAACTTTACTTTCTTAATAAACAGCAGAATGTGATTAAATAATTTTGAATAATTAGAGGACAGTCAATATAATGATTAAAGAAATAGTAATAAACAATCAAAAAGTGTCGAATGTCTAGTCAATGAAAATCTCTGTTAAATAATGTGAAAAACATTGTGACATTAATTTAGTGTGTCGAAGAAATTGTCAAAATTGAAATATTGCAAATTGACTTTCTTACGGCAAACAGTGACTCGATCGAGGATCAAAGGCACCTAAGAAACTTGAAGGTAAGACACTTTCATGTATATTGACTCTTTCATATAGCTAAAATATCGATGAGATATGAGCGTTGGATGTTTGTTTATTTTCGATACGATACAAGTATGTTTGCTTACTTATTTGGCTTTAGCTAATACGCAGTGCTTATCTTTACGATCGCATGATCCGCCAAACGAATGCCTTATTCGATGATGATGGTAACGCTAATTAATTTAACAAGATAAATATAAATACGAATGCATTGCTGAGTTAATATTTAGTATAATTGCATTAAATTTTGCGAAATGTCATAAATAAATCTACATTTAATTATGAGACACACGAACAGTTTGTGCATATATTTTTGAATCTCTAGAATCAATATCGTATAAAGACTGAGCATTTATGCATTCTTGATGAAAAAATATTAATAAGAATTCATAACTCGCAAATCCAAGTATATAATACGCATTCGTATATTTTTTCCATTATAATTTAAAAAATCTTAAACTTTCAAAAAAAGAATAGGGATGATCGTTTAACAGAATATTTAACAGAATTCTTTTATATTTCTAGGCATCAAATTAATTTTAGATGCATTAACGTTAAATGCAATATCGCTTCATACGAATACTTCCTTCAAATTCACATGTCGTGACTCTGACATTCGGATGAATTTTCAAATTGCTGTCGGCAATAATTGAAACTTTTTTATGGATACATCAAACGTAATGCAGGAGAGAGCAAACGCGTGTGCAACGAATTGAATTATTTCGTGAAATGTTGAAATTTTCTGCTAGATGCCAACTGGAAACAATCGCGTCGCGTTCATTCCATGCGTGCCGATCGATTTTCGATGTGGCTGACATAAATGTGAGAGCTGCCTCTACCTTGAAACTCATTATTGCTTATATGGCTATTTTCATTATTATGTTTTAGCTGCCAGGAATAAACAGTTGCAGTTTACTATTATTCATTCACCGTGCAGTAAGACTCATTTCCTTGATCTAAAAATCTCATTTTTCATTCACAAGTTTTTATATCAAAGTAAAATTCAAAGCAGAATTTTATCTTTAATTTTAATTTAATAGAAATTAAATGTTATTTTTAATTTTGTACATCGAATTAATAATTACCAAATAAATTATGGGTAGCTTTAGGTCATGCTCTACATAATTACAGTCCGAATATATAATTAAATATAATTAAAACATTTTTTGCTTTGTCCATTATGACTTTTAAAATTCATAATTGAACATGTTGATTATTAATTTAGCGTGTAAAATTATATATAATATAAAATTCTGTCGCACACACTTCTGTCTGGATTCCAGTTATAATTTGCTACATATTTGCTTCAGAATTAAAATTATTATTAAATTAAACAAATAATTTAGAAAAATTAAAAAAATAAATTAATGAAATTGTTTTAAAACTACATTTCAATATATACATATATATATACTCTATATATATATATATATATATATATATATATATCTGCACACACTACCAGGTTATATTATGATGCATACATTTATGCCGAAAACGCAAGCTGGCATTGCAGCGGTAATGAAAAGCACTATTCTCGAAACCGGGAATTATACTAGGATAAAACCACTCTTCTGTGAAGATTGTATATGCTAATAGAGATAATAATAAATGCGGAATCAACCCTGCTGATTTGTAGAAATTTACTATACGTATCATTTTGGTGAATATGACTAAAAGTTCTAAAAAATAAAAAAAATTTTATAGAAAAAGAATTATGATACAATTATTAATTATTAAAGAACTTACTATATTATTATAATTAGACATTTTCTCTCTTTATATAATATAATTATTGTATATATTAATTTTGTTAGATAATATATATTAATTATATAATGCTAATATAAATATATTAATAGATATAAATTTAATTACTTTAATAATATATTAAATGTAATAAAATTCTAGTAAACTTAATATAAAAGCTTCACGATGAAATTACACGATATTTCCAAGCATTTTTCTATTTGCATATTTCTATTTAATCCCGATCTTTCTTCTCATATGCAATATTATTTACATTAACATATTTGTATCACGTTGTTAGAAAAATATAATTTTACACACTTGACGATGACTTTTGACAGAAATATCACGATGTCATTTAACATGGTTTCGACTTTCTAACGAGTTCTTGCTTTAAAATTCACGTAAACTTTCTCATCGTGCATTATTCATTTCTTATTACGAGACTTCGGCCGCGTTCTACACGAAGATTTGGTCGTAAATTTCCATACTCGGGAATCTTATTATAGTCATTTGAATAAAGTTGCGTACCATACGCGATTGACCGTTTTTTATTCGTGAACTATATAAGATTTGCCTTCCTTCGATTTCGGAAATTCAAGAATTTCCGTTTGCGATTTACCGCAAAATATCACGTAAACTTTGCAGCTATTTTTATCTGACGTAAAAATAGCTGTAAAACAAATGATTTTATATTTAAATATGATAACAAATCGATAAAAGGTATAAGATAAAACAAGATATAATTTTTAGAATATAATTATAGAGAATAAATAAATCATTACACAAAATATGTATATATGAAACATTATACGTACAAATATAAAATATATATAACAAACAATATACAAAATAATAAGCTTTATATGTACATATACATATGTATAATAATTCATTTTTAAACATTGTATTTATATGAAACATTTTTATCTTCCTTTGGATATCGTTTCAATTCAGTTCACATCGCGCTAAAATCAACGATGCAATTCGCATCGAAGACGATACGAAACGCAGATGGTCCTCGCGATGCTTAATATGAGAATCCGAGATATTACGCGGTATTGCATCATGGAAATGAAAATTGCAATTCGCGGATGATGTTTCGTATTTCGCGCTCGTATTTCGTATATTCATATTTTGCATTCGCATCGTGGGAAAAAATTAATGCAAAAAATGATAACGCTGGCGACAGCGACGTGCCTCTATCACCAGCGAAACATCCACACGTTTGATCCGATGTGGAAAGTTGAGTCGTTTTCAGGAAATTCTATAAGGAGTCTGATACGTAATCTATAATAAAATGAGGTTATAGAATGGAATATAATAGAATCGCGTCTATATTTGCACTCGCGGTGGAATATTTTAATTATCCTTCGTTTTGAGGTCAACTTCACGCCGCGCGCCGCGCAGTTCAAGTTGCTCGATATCTGCCGTGAAGTCGACGCCGCATCACCGCAGTTATAGCATCGAAGATGGCGGGGGAACGCGCGCGTCTCCTTTCGACGCGAGAATCTGGAATATTCCGTGGCATCGTGTCGCGGAAATGTAAATCGCGGATTGCGAACGACGCCTTGTATTCCGTACTCGTGTTTCGCGTTCGTATTTCGCGATGTGGTACAAACGCAATGGAAATGGCAGTGACGACGCCGATGGCAACGACGGTGTGCTCTGTAGTTACGCCAGTGGAACATCGTTTGATCCGACGTGAGGAGGAATACGTATGAGTATATATTGCAAGATCAAGTTATACGTAATGTACGTAACTAGAGTACGTAGAATCATATCTACATACGTATTCGCACGTGCGACTGAGCGTTCCTGTGTTCCCTTTCCTCTCGAGTCAATTTCACGTCGCGCGTTAGCGTTTAGATTCTTCGATATTCTCGCTCTTTCTCTTATATAGAAATTATTAATACTAGAAGGAGCTTTAATTATTTATTTTCAGTATTAAAAGCACTGTTGTTCAAATACTATGTAATAAATCAAATAATGTAATTATTTAGTATTAAATTGAATTTCTGTAAGGATTGAAATCGATGTCAACGCTAGGGCCTATCATGGACAATAAGTCGCAATGGATTCCAATCAGAATTATTTTGTATTCCTTAGAAAATATAATAGAAATCTAGAAAATAATTGCATAATTTCAATTGGAATCCATTCCGAATAATTCCATGATCCAAGTAGACGATGTGGTTTGTTTGCACGCTTTCTTGGTTTGCGACGAGAAATCATCGTGTTACAAAAATCGCGATTTACAAATAACGCCTGTATTTTGTTGGGCCCGCGCGCATGTCTTATACTCGTGTTTCGTTCTCGTATTTCGTGGCAAGTATGGAAATGACGGCGACGGCAATGCTTTATGTTCGTACTAGTGGAACATCCACGCGCTTAAGCCGACGAGAAGTGAAACGGAGTGAAGTAAGCCGGCTTTACGATGTCGGCGTACGTTCATTTTCCTTTCGTGTTTCGTATTACAGAGCCTTTACTCTACTTTCGAAGCTACCAGATCTTATTAATTCTTAGTGATTGTTTGCCTTTCGAATTATTTTCTCCGTACTTTTCTAAAGATACAAAAAAAAACGCGCGATTGATTTTGCAATACATGTATGTGTATAATGCATATAATATAAAATAATATCTACTTAGTACAATATTTTGTATTAGTATTTTGTGTTATATTTTTTACAATAAAGAAGTATAATAAAGAAATATAGAATATATATTTGACTTACGTATTAATATTATTTATTTTTTAAAATATTTAAAAATATTAAAAATGATATATGTATTATTCAAGCTGTATTAAATAAATAATAGGAGTTATAAATAATAATTGAGTTAAAATTTTTAATAAATAAGTTAAACATATTTATAAATATATGAAGATAAAATTAAAAATTAAAATATTGTATATATAAACATAATTTAATGCAAGAATATATAAAATATTTATCTAATATATAATATAAATGTATAATACTAAAATAAAAAAGCAATGATAATAAAAAAAGATATTATAATTAGGTAAATATAATTCGTACAATAGAAATATATAATATAATATTAATAATCGGCAAGATATGATTGTAAAAAAAGTGCGGTGTAAATTGTATTCAAACGATCATGATTTAGATAATTACTTTACAGTAGATAATTACTTTACAGTAACGATTAAATTACACGTTTCGTGTTCCGGGAAATTATTTATCAGGCTAATAACAGGCCAAGCGATTTTTCTCACGTGAGAAAAATTATTCGTAAATCAATTTTTCCACCATCGCGAAATTTTCATCATCACGCGATGATGCGAGTGTCCGCATACAACTTCGCGAAACCTTTTTTCTCTTTTTTTTTCATTGAGATTGTCGTTGACTGTTGCTGAATTTTTCAGGACAGTTCTAGAATTTCAGCGGCAACATTTTGCGCATTTCACGAATATGATTAGTCCGACTATACGTCGCAAATGAAAATTTTATACATGCATATTTATACATACATATTTATATATACATATTTTCACACAGGTCATTCCATTCAATTTTAGAACTCAGAAGTCTGTAATTTTATTTTTAAGCAGTGTAAAAGTTTATAGTGAAGTTTTTTAAAAACATATTACCATTTTTTTCACTATTTTTGTAAACAAGTAAAATCAATCTAGCAATAATCTAGGAAAGTAGGGGAGGATAGGAAAACTATAAATACAAGAAAAAAGAGTTAAATACAGAATTTTTATTCAAAAGAGACACTTTATTTATTTGATTTTAAACTGTAATAATTAACGTTTATATGTTATCAACATATAGATGCATATTATGGCCTGTTAAAACGCGTTTTTATATTTGAAATTCTATGGTATATATATATAATATGAGAATTATACTTTAAATAAATACTCACTAACATTGCAAAGCGTGCTTTGAATACGGATTTATAATTTTAAATAAAATACAGAATCCTTTTTTGCTTTATCCATTGCCGCGCAGAGTAATGCCCAATCTAGTTTTGATTTTTTAAATTGTAATTTTAATTTTAATTTTTTGATAATATATAATGAATATAATAAATAATAATTAAGTAATTTATGATATATGTATAATTATTTAATCAAATATGTATAATTATTTTTAATTAAATAAAATATATTATTATCAAATATTTTATATGAGCAAAAGAAAATGAAGAATTGCGAACGTATATTATTGCAGTATAGAATAATAATAACCACACATAATTCACAACACACACACATAATTCATACTTCTCGCATTCAATGATAGTCCAATATACGCTTACAATTTGTGTCGCACTATAACATATGGCCATACAAACTATTTAAAATAATTACTATTACATATTTCTGATATATTGGATGTATGAAAGAGGAAATTGCGAGAATATTCTGTGAATAAAAGATTTCCATAATTGATAAATAATTATTGGTTTTATTTATCTTTTCCCTTTATAGTTATTTGCAATTCCTCCTCCCCCTCTCTCTCTTTTGCATTAAAAACATCGAAAATATGTAATAGTAATTACCTTAAACGGTTCGTGCGTTCCATGGTCATGGTGTTATAGTACGGCAATAAGCATATATTGGACTCACGCGCATCACTGGATGCGTGAAGTAAGTGGTTATCACTACTCTAATATGTTGCAATAGTATCGTTCGCATTTGTCCGTGTTTGCAATTTTCCCATTCTTCCTCATTCGTATAAAATACTTGACAAGAATATATATTATTTGATTAAATAATTATATATAATTAAATAATTTGATTTATCATTCATCATACATTTTGTTTAGATAAATATTAAGAAAAGAGACGCCTCTTCCAATGACCTTTATCTTTACTGTAAAAATTTGTTTATTAATTCTTTAATTGTAATTGATTTTTCAAAAATTGAATTTTAAAAGATAAATTAAAAATATATTTTAAATTAGAATACAGATTAAAAAATATTTAATATGATATAATATCATCTCTAAATACCTATTATGAACAAGTCGACAATTTGTTTAAAAAATTCATGAATAAAAACTCACCACAGATCTAGGACACTGTATCGGATAGATCTATAAATATCGAGAGAAATATTTTATGTTACGGTCGCAAATAAATATTGCGTCCGATTTTAATCTGGCCTGTACCGAAATAGATAGAACAGCCGGTGATATGGGAACTCCTTAGAGAAGTAAATTTCTTAATGTAGCGTTGCAAGAAACGTCAATAATGTATATTTCATCATCCTACATATTTCAATCCGATTCGTCGCAATAAAGGATTTTCTCGCGTTTGATCGTAGGAATCGTTCGTTTTAGATTCTTTCCTGTACCCTCTGCATATAAAATGACATAGACGAGTATAACTGTGGAAGTATAAGTAATGGAGAGTGCAACTAAAACGAACGACCTTATATTTATAGAACTATATTTTTGAAACGAATAGATCTTTCTATTCCGAAGACATGTTGACGTTAGTAAGAAGACTATATCTACAATAATTATTATCGTATTACACGAATAGAATGATACATTTTCGATAACATATTTCTATTTATCGTATCATTTATTAAACATTATGTTTTCTATCGTTATTTATCTTTAAAATATTTATTTATTATATAAATACAAAGCGTTTATTTATTTATATTTGTTCATAGTATTTAAATTTTCACTAGGATGATACCGTGACGATTAAATTTTAAATTGTGAGAATTTCAAATAGCGTTTAGGCATTCTACGACTAGTATGTTCGGCCGCGTGTTAATTTATGTTTGTTGTTTCTATTATGACCGACATACATATATAGCTTTAGCATTAGATCGTATTGTCACGACTTGTTATCTGCGTGCGCTTCGCGCGAATCCTCGTGTAAATCCAATTTCGACAGAACATACAAGCATATTCCTGCGGTAAATCAACGGCCTTTTAATGCGGATTATATGCTCGTACATTGCCGGAATATATTTAAATACATGGACTGTGAATAATTCAAATTATTTAGAATATTTACGACGAAAGGACTTATTTAGTGGCAAATACACTAGTGTATTTACATTAGTTAAATCCTAAATACAATTCAAATATTGCAAATTTAAATTTTAATTAGATCGCGAAATGTTAAAATTCAAACATCGTCATTTTTAACTGAACTTGTAAATTTGTAAAATTAATTTAGTATATTGATTAAATTCTTATTGTTACTTCTTTATTCTTATTTTTACTTTTATCTTCTTGGAGAATAAATATAAATATAAATAAATATAAATAATAAAATTTGAATTAAAATCTTCAATTAATAATTAAATTGTAATTAATAAAATTATATTATTTAAATGTATATAAATGTTTATTTTTAATAATGACATCGACTAATTATATTAAAAAATTGTCTTTAATATAGTTGTATTATTATATCAAAGAAAATAAGCATGAAATTTTAATAACAGTGTTATGAGGATATAAATATCAGGCTTTATAAATATTGATTAACTTTTAATTAGTCTTAAAAAACTGTATTATTACTCGAATAAACGGGAATGTGGCGACGTGAAACGGTTCTTTCAACATGAAACTATTGGAATTTCCAGATCCCCAACATTTATCAATTTTTAATTAACCAACTTTGATGAAGAGTTATATTACTGCAAGGAGTAAGCAAATAACATGTTTTTATCAACAAAATATCACTGAAATGTCATGCTTCTATGAGTAGGTAATAGACAAATGTTAATTAATTTTAATTATGTTTAATAATATGTTGTTGCTGTATGAAATAAATAGAATTGCGTTCTTTAGCAATAGAGAATTAATTTTTAATTAACTAACTTAATTAATAACTTTGTTAAAGTTATTAACACATTAAATAGAATAAGCAAAATGAGTTTCTCTTAACAATCAATTATCAAAATTGAAAATCACTGAAATAACTAAGTCATTTTTAGTCAATTTGAAATATTCATCAAATTTCAATAAAATTACTTTTAAATGTTATAGATAATTTTTGAGATTATTTTTAAAATTCATACATAAAAAGTAGAAAAATCCACTATAATATCTTGTACAAAATCATTGTTATACATATTATATTATTAATCTACGTACATTTTAATTTCAAATTATTAATTTAAATCATTTTGCATTGCGATGTTTTGCGAATATAAATATAAGTAATAAATAATTTTTTTACATAAATTAAGATACACAGCTGTAGATACACAAGATTTGTAAATATATAAGACTCTTGCATACGTTTAAAATTGTTACATTATTTATTTCGCTTTTTATGTATATTTGTGCATATTTTGTTCACAGGTTATCGTTGTATGAAGACACTTTAAAATCTATGAAAAATATGCTGCATGAAAATTCCGTTTGGATGTCGAAATTTGGAAAAAATTACAACTACAATTGTATAAAATAATAATAACAACAAAATATAAGAAAAAAAATCTGCAATTATGATTATGATCGCAAGAACTCATATAAGCGGACAATCATTAGCTCAAGAAAACTCAAGTATACGAAATGTCTAGAAGCTCAAGTACCAATTTATCCAAGTAGCTCAATGAAACTTATTTTCCGAGATGTATTTTCGCCTAATTTTCTTATTTTGGATTTTATTGATAAGTGAATCACACAAACACTATAAATAAATCATCTTGATGTTACAAATTAAGAACTTCGCGATCTACAACATCGCCTAGGCGAAATCATAACCTGACTTTCGTAAATGGATCGATTGCACATCAACCATAAGGAAGAAGCCGAGAGAAAAATCGTCGAAAGACGATCGCTAGTTGAAACGTGAGAAAAACTTCAGTTCCTCAAGATGGGTTTTAACGAGACGGATCTGAACAACACTGTGAATCTACCGAGCACTTTTCTTCTCGACACTGGTCAGCGAAACATCAGCAAAAACCATCACGATATCGAATATGTTCTCTTGTTAACTTTGAAAGCTTTCATTATGATATTCATCATCCTTTGTGCTCTCCTCGGCAATTTATTGGTCATTGTCTCTGTCATGAGACACCGCAAACTCCGGGTAATTACCAATTACTTTGTGGTTTCGCTGGCCTTGGCGGACATGTTAGTGGCGTTGTTCGCCATGACGTTCAACGCTTCCGTGGAACTTTTTGGACGCTGGTTATTCGGATATTTCATGTGCGATGTGTGGAATTCGTTGGACGTTTTCTTCAGCACCGTCAGCATCCTTCACCTTTGCTGCATCAGCGTCGATAGATATTACGCGATCGTCCAACCACTGGACTATCCGTTAATCATGACAAACGTGAGATTGGGAACCATGTTGAGCGTTGTATGGTGTTTCCCGACTGTTATGAGCTTCCTACCGATCTTCGCAGGATGGTATACCACGAACGAGCATCTCGAGTACAGAAGAAACTATCCGGATATATGTGTGTTTCAAGTCAACAAGTTCTATGCTGTCGTCAGTTCCTGTGTGAGCTTCTGGGTACCAGGGATAATCATGATCGCGATGTACTACAAGATTTATCGCGAGGCCGATCGTCAGGAGCGCATGTTGTATCGGTGAGTCGTTTTTTTATGTCTTGTAATTATTATGAATGAAATTTTAGATCCCGATTAATTAAAATTCTCAGAAAATTAATATCTTCATTAATACACTCTTATTTTTATATAAACTTTTAATTAATATATTAATACATGAGGAGACGAGAGATTATACTCTTATTATTTTTTAATACAATTTATCATTAATAAATTTTTTTATTACTAGTATAATGTAATATAGAAATTAGAAATTGACAAAATAAATTCATTATCGTGTATTATATAAACATAGAAAAAAAGAGCATAAATCAATATTTTAGAAAAATCATCTAAATTTTAATCCCAAATCTTGTTATACGCGGAATATGTACTTACATTTTTTTTGCTACATTACGTAAATAATATAATTTCACAAACAAGACATTTGAAATATCGTTCGTTTGTTATATTAGCTGTTTTCTCAAATGCTGTTTTATTCATTGCCAAATAATTTAATATAAAGATATATAGTAAAGTTGTTAGCGTGTTAAAATGATTGGGCAATACATGCTCTTAAATCTTCAAGAAATTTTTATATTTGGAAAAGGAAAAGAAAAGAAAGGAGAGAGAACTTGCCATTAGTTTCTTTCAAAAGAATTCCGGTTCTATCCAAAAGATGCTCCCGAAAGCTTCGTGCTGTTCTTAAATGTCCAATTAGGGTAAAAGGCGCGAAAGAAGATAGAGATGAGTGGACTAACAACAAATGTACTTTTTAAGAGGGAGAGAAAAAAGGGGAAAAAGTATTCCGAAATAATGCTTCACCATTTGTTCTCGTATTGTGCGTCATTACAAGCTTTAAATCCTTCTTTTTCTTCAACAAAATTTTAATATATTATAATAATAATAATATAATATTATATTAGTAATAACGTTTACACGTAACACACGACTGTTATTTCGTTGCTTCAGAATTATGTAATTTCATAAATTTTATTCGGAAAATATGATTTACGTTTTATCGAAGTAAAATTGAATCACAAACGCAAGAGACTGATTGCTAATAAAAATAACACTTTCCTACAGTTATTTTTATCATGAGCGATGCTATCTTCGTTTTATAGTTTTCCGCGTTCGATCGATGTGCTCTCGGTTCGCATTTTGCGCGACCTTGCCGCAAAGTTTTCTGTATTTTCATAAATTACGTATCCGTGGTACGTCGCGTGTTCACTCTTTATATAATAACGCGGACCACGTCGCGCTTCGTGCACACACGTCACTTCGTCGCACTTTGAATACACCACCGAGATACCCTCTCCGTTTATAAACGCCAACGGGAAATGCGAACGCAAAGTAAAATGGAAATTTTGCGTTGCTCTCGAATTTGTTATATTAGCTGCCAAAGGAATCATCGAAACGTCGAATCATAAAATTGTGATTTAATAATCGAAATATTAGCACTCTTTTAATTTTAATTCTATTTTAATTTAATAAGTTTATAAAAATTTGAAAGATTTGATGATTAAACATTGATTGATTTTTAATAAAGTTGCGTAAATAGCTGGATTCTAATTTAAGCAACGTCTATTTAGCAATAAATATCAAAGTAAAATGTATCTGACATAAACATACAATCCATTAATGAGTGCTTTAAATATCAAACTTTTGAAATAACGTTTGTCCAATTTGGTATTTTAATAATTATTTATTAATGCTTTGATAAATGATAAAAATTTTATAAATGATAAAAATTTTATAAATGATAAAAATAAATCTTTTGCTCTAATGAACAGTTTTCAATATTATTAATTAAAGATTTATTGAATAAGAGCTTTATTTGGTTGATTAAAAAATCAGTTAGCGATAATTTAAATTTAAAAATAAAATCTAGACTTTCGTAATCTGGATGTAAATCGTACCACAAAACTTTTAATTTTGTGATAGTGATGTAAATAAATGCAAAGTGCTAGACATTTCGTTCCATTTAGTGACAATAGAAAAATGTGAACGGAATAAAATGGAAATTTCATGTCGTTTTCGAATCTAATGTATTCGCAAATGTTAAAGGAGTCGCTGAGGCTTCGATGTAGTTCGCAAAATGTCAGTTTTAAAAAGAAAATTATATATATTTTTTACATTATTCATTTGACGAATATAAGCGCGAATAAAAAGAAAAAAATTTCAACGAACATATGATTACATTTTAAATTTGATTTCAAATCTAATTTTATTATTAAAGGTGTCATTTATATGTACACGTAATGTAATGATCAAAATGTTAATAGATTATCGTGACAATATCATTACAATATTATATTGTATTTAGCGTGAAATCAAAGTCATGTTGGTCAGCACATTAAATTTACGCTAAGCGACTCTGACATTTTCAATACCATCGCAAGCTATAATCTTCGAAGCGGGATTGTCTTGTCTACTGACGATTTCAATCTGGACCAGTTCTGGATGCGGTGCCAAAACTGATATCGCTCAGCGTCGCGTTGAGAGACGAGTATCAGTTTTGCGTCTCGCTTTTGTGGGAACGCGCCGTAAATTTCGTAAAATCGATTGCGACTGGCGAGCTGGAAAGCCACATTCGGTTTACGAACGTGTGCAACATGTTTGCAGTATATTGTAACGGGTTTGGAAACAATGTATGTACAACGTGATATTTACAAAATGTCATAAATATAGACCAAATAAACATTTATTCGAATGTTCGCAAATTTTCTGCAGTTTATTTTGTTTTGAAATTATTCAGTCTGAATACATCTAAAATTTAAATTTAACGAAGAAGTATCGAAAAATTTGTAATCTCGAATGACAAAATTTACATTAAAAATTTTCAATTTAAAATGAACAGAAATTATTTTGTAGTATGCAAAAGAATTTATTTTGCTATTTTTCTATTTTAAACTTTAATAACAAAATGGAATTTTATTTATAGAAACAATTTAAATAAATAAAACAAAATGAATATGACGTAAAGTTAAAAATTATATATTTTGAATTTTTATTTGCTTCAAATAAAAAATTATTTTATTTAAATATATTAATTAAAAACTCAATCCATGATATAAATGCATATATA